ATGTGTACCATCTGTACTGAATTGTTCACAATACTATTAGGCCCATTAATTAATGTCGTACAGTTTCTGGGAGGTAAACAAGAAAAGTTGATTGTGGTGGCACACTTATATTTTTATGTGATTACTGAAAAGTGCATTTTTGTCGTTGCAAATGTAAACTAAATTTAACAAATTTCCAGAACTATGCTCCACACTCCTTTTAAAGAAAAAGGAAGTTTTAAATTCAGTATTACAGTATTACAGAGGGGTTGACTTGGGGTATCGGGGCCAAAATACCCCAAGAATCGCACCATCACGATCCCAAGCTCTCAGGCCAGTGTTGGAACAAGTACACCACACAGACAGAGAAATATTTTTAAGAAGCATTACCTTTCTATTTTTCCCAGCAACAAAATGCTATATAGGATTTTAGCAATCATGGTTGCCATATTGGCTGCTCTGATGTTTTGGAATGGCGTGCCCGTGGTAACAGTGGAGGAGGATCTCTAGTGTTATGGCTATTTATTTCATTCATATATCATCAAAGCTATTATTATTGTTAAATCTATTTTGACAGAGAAAAATGCTCAAGGAAAGTCTTCCAGTGTTGGTGTGGATCCACGGAGGTGAATTTCTCGCTGGCAGCTCTCATGAATATCGACCTCAAGTCCTCATGAACCACGACATCGTACTTGTAGTTTTGCACTACAGACTTGGTATCATGGGTGAGTTGAGAATCAAAAGAGGCTGCATTTGAGATTACGTTATGAATGCCAGTTCAATGGCTTTTCTCTTTATGGTTTGTATACTAGTTTTTATTTTCACCGAAATATGAAATCAGTTCCTATTGAATATTTCTCTATTTCTCTTAAACTTCAATATTCCCTTTCCAGGATTCCTGTCCACAGAGGATGAGGTGATTCCAGGGAACTTTGGGCTGAAGGACCAGACCCTCGCCCTCCGCTGGGTGCAGGACAACATCCACAACTTTGGAGGAGACGCCCATAGGGTCACCATCTTCGGCGAGAGTGCTGGGGGCGCCTCTGTCCATTATCATATATTGTCACCCAAATCAAAAGGTATTCAATAGTGCATGTATACAAGTTTCTTTATCCTCATTATCTTCATCTTCCAGAAATTTACTAATCTCTATTTTATATTTCTTCATAAAAGTGATTCCAAGATGTTAGTGTAAATGACAGAAATGTTATCGAATATAGAGTTCATGAATATTTGAAACCAGATTTGTATGTTGTTCTTTGTGTACATGGTGTTTTTGTTTTATCTTGTTTTGCATCCTATAAGCGTAGTATTGCAAATCATTGAAATATTTATCTCTGTATAAAATACAAGGCAAGAGGAAATATGATCTACAATAGTTACACTTTTTTAGTAGTTCTTAATCTGAATCACATGAAAGGGTGTAGACAATATGCATCTCTGAGCTTTGGTTGATGTCTGGTGGCGGCCCTCTCAACATAACACATGAGTCATCCTCGCTCTCTTTAACACAGAATATAGATGCATGTTACATAGTGGAGATATCAATTATAATTCCTCCCTTTTCCAAATATGCCACAATGAACACAGATCATTCGTATGCCTGTATATTATGTGAGCAATGTGTGGGCAAGAACATGGATCATCTTTTCTTAATTAACAAGAAGTGAGAACAACCATCCTCCCTTTATGACGCATGCTTGTGATTGGATTTCTATGGCTACATTTACTAATATCAGTTCAATAAATTGTTTTGTTTATCATATGAAGTCTTGTTAGATTTGACATATTTTATAATGTTTAGCTCTACAAATAGGTGGTATTCATGTGGAAGTGCCGGGCCTAGTATACAATACAAGGAATCTACAAGACAACTGATTCAATTACTGTATTACTGATTCAAAACAAGTGATTTGATACTGTACATACAGATCCCATATTTCTCTCCCTGTCTCTTGTCTGTGCATTTGCGTATGGTGTTTATGGTGGCCAGGCCCGACCAGGCTCTGGGGATTAGCCTTATCTGTGCTAAACAGGCAAGTCTCCCCCCCTTCTCAGATTCCCAGGAGCCTCAGAGTGGGTGGGGACTGATAAACGCATAGAGTCAGTGGCATATGAAATAAAATCTGGGAACACAGTGTCTGTAAGGTGTGCCACGCGTTTTTTTTTTTTTGTCTTTTTTTTTAATAGCAATGAAACTGGGTTATAGAAAGACTATTCAATGCTCTGGGTAAAAATAAATAAATAAATAATAAAACATACAATATCTATAAACGATAGAATACCTTGCATTTCTAAAGGGTTTTAATGACCTCCCCTGATTTCATCCTTCTTTGAGTTTTTGGGGAAAAAATCTAATACTCTTACTATCATTCATATTATGACTAATTCAGTATTATTAACAATATTAACAGCAATGTGGAATAAACAATTATATTTCCAAAAATCAAGAAGAAGGATGAACAGGTGAGGTGGGTAGTACTAGTAACTGAACAAGCTACATGTAAATAAAATGAACTCACAGTGGACATGACATAAGTACATGCTATCCCCAGTCAACAGAGTACATAAAAGGCACTTGTATCCCCACTAGGTCTCTTCTCTCGTGCCATCATGCAGTCGGGGTCGGCCATCTCGCCGTGGGCTTGCCGGGAAGACCTCCGGACTGTGGCTGAGGAAGTGAGCGAAAGAGTTGGCTGCTCCAAAGGCAGCGGCAGCCAGGACATGCTTACTTGTCTGCAGAAGGTGGATGGACGGAGGTTGGCTGCAGTGGTTCAGGATTTTATGGTGAGCTTGCAACATCTTATGAAGAACATTTTCTCGACTTGCATTGCAATAAATGATTTGTTGAAAGATGGGAATGGCTCTTTGTATAGTTTAATTTCCCTATAATAAACGTTGCTCCAGAGATGGTTCATCTTGCCCGTTGTTGCTTTACCTCATGTTGATGGAGACTTCCTACCGGATCACCCCGCGCGTCTGATGCGTGACGGAAACTTCAACCAAGTGGACCTCATGGCTGGTTTCACAAGAGACGATGGAGCTATAATAACAAATCGTAAGTGATGTTTTGGTGGTATGACAGTTACAAGACTTAATGGCAAAGATAGAAACAGATAAAGCGATAGTACAAAATGATGTCAAAAATAAATGGAAATGTTATTCTTGCCCATGAATATCACCCCAAGACAACTGAAAGAATCTTCTTCCACAGCGATGCTTGTTCGCAAGGACCTCCTCCCTACTTTGCAGAACAACTTTTCCACCATTGGCCCTCTCAGCCTGATGGTTAGGCCTGAAGTTCAAGACACAAGTGCTTTTATCACCAAAGTCTACCAACACTACTTAGGCAACGCAACCATCGACCGCGACAGCATAGAAGAGCTCACTAAGGTACCCATTCCTACCTTTTTACATTCTCTTGTAAGATTCCTGCTTAATGAAAGGCAAGTCTGAAATTATCCTGTCAGTTTATTATTGCTATTGCCATTTGTTGCTATTGCATATATAATGTTTGGTCAACATATAACATATATGTTATAATATATAGTCAACATAAAACGTGATTTTCTCTTCAAAGGGTTTTATTATATCATTGATACAAATAGTTGATGTTCACAGCTGAATACAGACTACTCGTTTGCGATACCTCACGACCTGACGACCAGCTACCACGCGCGGGTTCCAGGTCTTGCTACTTACCGCTACGAACTCAAGCACCGATCCCAGCTGTCCATGGGAGATTTCTACAATACAGATAAAGGGCGTCACTGTGAGTTGTTACAAAATGGTGTTTTTTGGTTTGCTTTATTTTTCCGTGATGAGAAGAGAAAGTGAATATGGCACACTAACATCTCCAAACTCTCCTTGTGATTAGATTTTCATTGACGAAGAGGCAGAGTTGTATGTACTTTACTGAATATAATAGGAGCTCAGTGGAATAGTACCCCTCCCCTCTTGCCCTGTATCTCAGGGATTCCTCACGGGGACGACCTGTACTACCTGTTCGCCGGCGGGCCGCTCCTCAGCCCCGGCCGCCTGCCCGACCGCCTGCCCGACCTGCAGAGCCAAGAGGACCTGCGCCTCAGGGACATCATCACGACCACGTGGACGAACTTCGCTACCACCGGTAACCCGACCCCTGACGACGGCCTGGGCTTCAAGTGGGAGGCGGCGACCGAGGACGACCTTCGGTACCTCGCCCTCACGCCCTCGCCCGCCATGGAGGCCGACCAGCGACAGGAGGCGAGTGACTTCTGGTGCATCTTTAGCTAGACATCTCTGCGGTCCAAGTTAACATACACTCTTTCGAAACTGAAATAAAACATACATATTTTGATACGTACACATACACCTATATGACATTTAATCATATGTCACTTTTGAATGAAATTTACGTGCTTGATGTCGGGAGGGAACTGCAAAGCCGTGTATGTCTCTTATCAATCAAGAATTATTGCAAATGCATTCTTTTCGTTTATGCCAAAACATGTGGATTGTAACATGTAGGAGAACTATAAGGGTAAACCATAACAGACGGAGGAAATTAAAATTCTAAGGACCCCTTTGTCATTTTTTTTTAATACATAACGTAATAGATGAGGATTGTTCATTTTCACCGTAACAGTTAAAATGGAAAGCAATCCGCAGAAAAGAGCGAATTCAGGCTTGATATTTCGATACAAAGTTATTATAATGCAAAGGAAATTTTTCATCAACATTCCATCTTCAAGTAAAACAAACATTAAAAAAATGTCCGCTTAAATATCCACATGTGCCTAAAATTGGGCTAACGTTGTTACAAACATGAGAATTTACATGCGGAGAGGGAGAGAAAAGGAGAGAGAGAGGGAAGGAGGGTGAAATTAAGTGAGGAGGGAGAGAGAGAAATTAGATAGACAGGCAGATAGATACATAGACAAAGAGAGAGAGTAAATTACACTAAGATATATCTATTTAAGAAAAATTTTCCTTGTCTCCTCTGCCAGGCACGGGATTTCTACGCTTCTCTGCCAACGCAAGTGAACCAGTTCCTCCAGCCTGAACGCACAGACTCGCCAGGAACAAACACCGAGAAAGACGAGGGACCGCGATGAAAACCCCTTTATTTGTACTTGATTCATAAAGATCTATCCTTTAACTATGGTATGAATATATCCTCCGTTTCTTTGGTCATCTCAGAGTACATTTTTTTCAGAAGCATTTTTTTAGAAGCAAATACTAATTTCTTTCGACATAAATGGAAGTACAATTCAGACTTTCTGTTTTGACGAGTTGGAACGTTGGCATTCCGGTGATTCCATTGACGACGATTCCAAGTCTGGTATTACGATTCCAGTGTACGCGTTTCTAAGAAACCTCACAGATAATGTACAGTATATATGTGCACACACACACACACACACACACACACACACACACACACACACACACACACACAAAATAATCGGCCACCATCTATATCTATCTGATAAACCTTGTAAAAATAATCCTTTTATGTTACTAAGACGAAGATAAAATATTTTTCTGTTGTTTGATCTGTTGACTGATCCTTGACCGGAGTTTATCTCTGACCACTTGATCAAGATAAGAATAAGGAGTATGGGTGCGTGGCGTGACTGTGTGTGTGAAAAATCGGAGAGAGAGAGAGAGAGAGAGAGAGAGAGAGAAAGAGAGAGAGAGAGAGAGAGAGAGAGAGAGAGAGAGAGAGAGAGAGAGAGAGAGAGAGAGAGAGAGGAGAGAGAGAGAAAGAAAGAAAGAGAGAGAGAGAGCGAGAGAGAGAGAGAGACGCAGAGAGAGAGAGAGAGAGAGAGAGAGAGAGAGAGAGAGAGAAATCAGAGAGAGAGAGAGGAAGATCATCAGAGAGAGAGAAAGAGACAGACAGACAGACAGACAGACAGAGACGTAGATAGATAGATAGAGAGAAACAGAAAGAGAGACAGCCAGACAGAGAAACAGAGAGAAGAACCAGGGAAAGAGAGAAGAGAGAGAGAGAGAGAAAAGCAAAAAAAAATCAGAGACAGATAAACAGAGAGAGAGAGAGAGAAGGAGAAATCAGACTGAAGAAATCAAGAGAGAGAGAGAGAGAGAGAGAGGAGAGAGAGAGAGAGAGAGAATCACAGTGAGAGAAAATCAGCGAGCGAGAGCGGACAGAGAGACAGAAGAGAGAGATAAATCAGAGAGAGCGGAGAGAGAGAGAGAGAGAGAGAGAGTAGAGAGAGAGGGAGAGAAGAGAGAGAGGAAAGACCCAAAAATCAGAGAGAGAGATAGAGGAGAGAGAATAGAAAGAGAAAGACAGATAGTAGACACACACAGAATAGAAAGATAGATAGATAAGAAAGACCGCGACTTGCACGATCTGCCTAAGCGCCAAGTGGACACTAGCCATACCCTCAAACCATATCGCCCTTTTAACGCCTCCTGAAGGCATAAACAAACATGACCTGGGGTCCCCTACCAAGGAACCGACGAAAACGCGGGAGAGAGAAGACCTTTAAGAGAGATGGGAGAAAGAGATAGAGAAATATAGAAAGATATGACGTAATAGATAGAGAAAAGAGAAGAGAGAGGGAACCAGAGAAAGAAAGACAGCAACAGAGAGAGAAAAATGACAGACAAATAAACAAATAAAAAAGAACAGAGAGGAAGAAGAATGAACATAAAAGGTGTTTGAAGAGAGACATAAGTTATCTCAACCCCGAAAGAAATTGGGTTACAGACTCCTATTTTGGAGAATGGTTAGTCCACCCTGCATTGGACGTCCTAAAGAAAACGTTTTCCATCAATAAAGGTTTCTTTTCTTTCAAAATTCTACCCGCGAAAAAGTCGAAAAAGAACACAGTAATTGTCGCGGGGACAAGGCGATAAGTAAATGGGGAAAAAAAAGCGGTTTAAATAGATTCTTATTCAAAATTCGCATCCAAATCGACGTTAAGCAAAGTTGTACCAAAGAATTCGGTTTGATTTGAGGGACTCGGCGAAAATTATACGCAACTTTAAAGACTCATTTCGATACTTCAAGGAAACGGCAATTCGATAAAATCTCGGGGATTTAGCATTTCTGTGTGTGTCTGGTTTTATATGCCCGCACACACCACACACACACACACACACACACACATATATATATATATATATATATATATATATATATATATATATGTATATATACATATATATTCACACACATATATATTCACACACATATATAAACATGTGTGTATGTATATTTATATTGTATATATGTGTATGTGTACATATATATATATATATGTATATATATACAATATATACATACAAATATATGTATATATATACATATATATATACATATATACATACATATATATATACATATATACATACATATATGTGTATATATATACATATATACATACATATATATGTATGTATGTATGTATATATATATATATATATATATATATATATATATATATGTCATAAATATATATTTATATATATGCATATTTATATATACATATATATCATATATATATATATATATATATATATATATATATATATATATATATATATATATATATATGCATATTTATATATACATATATATCATATATATATATATATATATATATATATATATATATATATATATATATTGATTACATATATATATGTATATATATACATATATATATATATGCAGACACAAACACATGTCTAGAGATAATTCATCCATTACTGTATCTAAACTTGGCTTATCCATTGTTTGCAAATCCGTGCAAGTGAACACACACAAATCGCACTCATGAGCACGCGCGTGACTTCGTATATATTCGGTAAAGCAAACCTAGATACGGTATTGGGTGACTCTATCGCTGATATGGCGGTGGGCTGAGAACCACCAACAATGATTACCTAGCCAACTCCTCCCCTGGGGAAGGATCACTTGTCAGCCACTCCAGTAAGAAGACCCAGCGGATTCGCATATAATGGGTAAGTCAAACGTAGCTACAGCAATGTCATAGATATGATGGTGGGTTGAGAAACACCAACAGTGATTACCTAACTAACTAGAGAGAGAGATAGAACCAGAATCAAGTAGCAAGTATGCGTGGATTGCAGATTAGTAGGAGGGTAAAGTGTTATACATTTCTGTGACACTTTCGAATGAACACCATGTTTCCTTTTTTTCATCGCATTTATCATTGTGCCTCAAACCTTCGTTGTTTGAATGTGCTACAAATGGCACAGCTGCCAATTCAATTCAAATTTGCCCAATTATTTGTTGGTTATTGATAGAGGAGCGAACTTTTATTGGCACATGTTGTAAATTGGTTAATTGTCATCTATGTAATTCATGACTCTCGGGCCTGTGTCTTTTGAAAATATCTATCGGCCAGGCATATAAAGAACAATAGATAGAAATCCATGTATATTTTTTTATATTATGCGTCAATAAACTGTTATCATTATAATATGCTTTCTAATTCACCTTGCTAATTTTATTTTAAAGGAAGAAATCATTCATAATCTAAGAAACAGCTGATCATATTAGGTCACACTTCAATCGACGAGAGAGAAGTGAAATCCCTTTCTTAATATCAATTTTAGTAATTATAAATGGTAACATTAATAACATCACTTTTATTACATCATTTTTACCCGTAGTCTGTTATTGTTATTTGATTATTTTGATTATCATATCCATCATTGTTGTTGCATTTTGCCTTTTTCATTATGGCGATTTGCAGCACTGCAGCCATCAGTGTTGCAATTAACATCATTATTGTTACGGTTGGTATCGTATAATCATTATTCTCATCATCATGGTACGTGTTAGGTTTGCAACAAAGAAGCTGATCTTCATATCCTTATTTAAATTTTTTCACAAAATCGTTATCTAGTAATGAGTTTGCCCGGTGAAATTAAGAAGAAAATCTTGAGGAATATTAGAGCACAATGTCTTTTTTTTTTGTTATTTTTGTTATTCTTTAGAACTATCGAAAACCTTTCATGACAATGAATTACAGATAAATTTGAACAAATCGAGATGGAGAAAGAGAAAAAAAATCTCTCTCTCTTCATCCGTACCATTTATTCTTCTTTTTTTTTTTCATTTTACACGTTTATTTCCTTTATCATCTTCAGCCAAACCAAAGCAGGGATTTATTACCTCCTGGCTACGTTCACCATCCACTCTGCTTTCTACTGTTGTCATCCACTACGACGGACACTAAATGCATTATCACGACTTTTTGTACGGATAGCAAGCTGAGCGTTGCTTTTCGACGAGTTTAGCAAGACGAGACAAACCGAACTGGCTTGCGTTTCTCGTCCAAAATGCGTTGTCATTGTAAAGTTATCTACCCTAGTGAGTGGGAAAAAATAAAATTTATACAAAATAAGGTGTTTATTAAAATAACTTTGCAATGTAGTTAGGTCCATCCGGAATTTTATCCTACGCCAGACACTGTTGAAAATTATTCTCCTGCTTAACAATGACATGATTTTGTTTTACCGGTTTCGTGCAGATATAGATTTACTCTTTTAATGATGCATGGGATGGGGGATGAACTGGATACTGCAAATCTTGATCAACGGATGAAGGAGTTCGTTTTTGGCCGAAGTTCGGGAGAAAAATTAAATAAATAAATAGATAATCAGGAAGTGCATAGAGGAACCTAATATTTCCTAACACATCTGTTTGATTAAACCATTAGCCATTATAAGTATATATGTATATATATATATATATATATATATATATATATATATATATATGTATGTATATATTTGTGTATGTATATATATAATATATATAATATATACAATATATATATATATATATATATATAGATAGATAGATAGATAGATAGATAGATAGATATATAGATATATAGATATATGATATATATATTATATATATAAAATTTATAATATATATATAATATATATAATGTATATATGTATATATATATATATATATATATATATATATATATATATATATATATATATATATGTGTGTGTGTAAATGACTGCCGTGATGGTCCGGTGGTTAGAGCACTCTGACCCTCATGGTCCCAAGTTCAATTCCCCGCCGCGGTAGTCG